TCCTTCCTTCTTTCCTTCCTCCTACCTCCTTCCTTCCTTCCTTCCTCCCACTCCCTCCTACTCTCTCCCTTCCTACTCTCTCTTGTCTTTCCTCCCTTTTTTTTTTGAGACAGAGTCTCACTGTACAACCTAGATTGGCCTGGAACTCACTATGTACCCCAGACTGACCTCGAACTCTCAATTCTTCTGCCTCTGCCTCCCCAGTGCTGGGATTACAGTTGTCTGCCACCCTCTTCAGCGCTGTTCCCTCTCGTCTACCACTTTTGTTCTTCTAGGTCCTTGCTCCTATCCACCTTTCCTGTTGTCCTTGATTCCCTTCTTGGTCCTCTCCCCATGGCTCTTTGCTCATCTCTTTCATCTGCCCACAGCCTTTGTTTCCTTGAGGAGTGCCTGACTTGTTCCACCCTCTGTGATTCCTTAGCTACTCTCCTTGCCTTCTTCTGCTGCTCCATCATTTCTAGAGTCCACCCTGGCTTCATCTTTTTCATCTTTATTTCCCTGTCTCCACGTGTCTTTGAGTCTTTCAGTTTCAGTATCTATTGATAGTCTCCAAGTATCCCCATCCTGGGATGGGCTCTGCCTCCTGGGTCCCCACTGACTGGTGCAGCCTCTTCTCTCTGTGCCCTTGGTCTTTTCCTCTGGCCCAACCTGAGCCCAGCCCTCATTCCCTCGACCCCTTTCCCTGGTTAGTGCTGCCCAGTCTGAGCCCCCGGAGGCTCAACTTGCCTGAGCTTGTTTAGTCTGACTCTCTTAGCCCCTTAGCAGCTTAGCCCTCCCACCTCTCCTTTGAGCCCTCCAGTAAACAAGAGGATCAGGGCAGACCTGACAGCTGCCCGGTGGGGGCAAGTGTCTGGCCAGGCCACCTCAGGCATGAAAAGGAGGAAGGAGGCTGCATTCAACATGTCCTAGTCCTTCTTCTTTCAGAGAAATTCTAGTGTTTCTTTCCTGGGCATCCACCTTAAAGCTACATTCCATGTGCTTGTGTATGGGATTTTGTGGCTCCATGATTTTTGTTCCCATTTTGTGGCTGGTTCCTAGGCCTTGAGTATTTTGTTTCTTCTGAGAAAATAGCACAGGAGCATAGGATACAGGTGAAGAGAAGCCACAAAAGAGAATCCTGCCTCCAGGATTGTACCCAGTAGGCAAACAGTCTATCACTAGAGCCATGCCCCCTCTCTTTTGTATTTTTGGGATGAGGGTATCAATAACTATGCCTGGTCTGGCCTCAAACTCACAGGATCCCCACATCCTGACTAGCTGAGAGTACAGGTATTGTACCACCAAGCCTGGCTTAAGAGAAACATTTCTACTTGAAATATGACAGTGGACTCTGCTCCATAAAATGAAGGCCCAGGTATGGGAAGACAATGATGTCATCTGATCTAGGTCTTCTAATATGTGTGGAGAAATCACGTACTATAGTTTAGATCTTAAGTGTTCCCCAAAGCCCATCTCCCTGAATTGGCACTATGGAGAGGTAGTGGAAACTTTAAGGGGTGGAGCCTAATGGGAGGTCTTCTGGTATGCCTTGGAGGGGGATGTGGGGCCTCCACCCCTACATCTTCCTCTCTTGTTCTTGTCTCACCCATGACGTGAGCTTTACTCCATTGTGTACTCCTGCCATCATGGGCTGCCTCACCACAGGCCCAAAAGCAATGGGTCAATTGATCATGGACTGGAACCTCCAAAACTTCCCATCAAAATAAATTCTTTATAAGTTGATTATCTTGGTATTTATTATAGTAATTATGTTAGTTTTTGTCACCATGACAAAATATCTGAGATTAATTTCTCTCACTATTCATTTAAAGGAGGAAAGATTTATTTTGGCTCACAGTTTCAGAGGTTTCAGTCCATGATTGTTTGGACCCATTGCTTTGGGCCTGAGACAAGGCAAAACATCATGGCAAAGAGCACATGGCAGAGGAAAGATGCTCAGCTCAAGGAAAGAGAGAGGAAGGGGACAGAAACAAGATACACCCTTTAAACGTATACCCCCCAGTAAAGTAGGCTCTACCTCCTAATAATCCATTTGATATGAACCGATAATTGATTAACCCATCAATGAGGTTAGTTCTTTCATGATCCAATTACCTTTCAATAGTGCCATGAGCTGGACACCAAGCCTTCAACACAGGAGCCTTTTTGAGAACACTTCATACCTAAACCTTAACAGGAATGGAAAGCTGACTCACACAGCATGGCAGGAGAGCATGTTTGAGAACCAGTGCTTCTCAAACTTCAGTTTGTGTCAGAATTGCCAGGAGGGCCTGTTAAAACATTGATTTCTGGGTCCAGCACCCAGAGTTTTTGGTTCAGTGGGTTTGAGGTCAAGTTAGAGAATTTGTATCTCTAACAATTTCCCAGGAGATGCCGAGGCTACTCACCTGGGAATCACACTTTGAGAACCACTGTCTTAAATAATCTGCATCTATTAGTTATTGCCTAACACCTAAGGCTGGGACCAGATTAATTTCTGTAACTGAGGACCCTTAGGGCTGACGGACCCTCAGGTTTCTCTAAGAGTTGGAAAAGAACACCTATTAACCCAATGGTTAATGAGTCTGGGTGCCTTCAGAAGGTAGGGAATAGCCTTTAACTCCTGAGTTCTATTCTAATACAGACCCTATTTAAACAGCTTCGGACAGGTTTAAACATCTCCTTGGCTAATTCCTAGTATCCCCGTTCCAACTCCTACTGGGGGGATGATAGCTCTAAGAGGTGTTAGGGGATTAGGCTGAAAATGTAGGTCACCCTCTAGCCATCTGGGAACCATGATGAATGAGAGGAGGAGAGAGATAGAGACACACACAGGGAAAAGGTGAGAGGAGGCAGAGGTCTTGTGAGGGCAGTTACAAAAGTATATCTGATGGACTGGTAGTGATTAGATTTCAATGTCCTTTGGTGGCCCATAAGGGAGTCGAAGAGTTCCCCGATTTCTCTTCTCCTTCTCTTAAGGTGGGCTGCACCTCTGGGGCTGGATTATTAAGAGTGAGAGATTGCCTGGAAAAAGTTGCTTACCTTTATGACACAAGGGTTGTGAGGGAATAAGGCAAATCAAGGTGAAGGTGGGGCAGAGGCAGAAGAGCGAGGATACTTGAAAAAAGGAAACAGACCCAACAGACTAGGTGAGAGTGGGTTTGAGCGAGCTTGTACTTCCCACAGACACTGATGAGGGGCCCAGAGCCTTGGAAGGTAAGGGTGCTGAAAGCTTGTTTGACCCTCTTTCCCAACCCCAGGCTTTGAGTGGCTCAGGATTGAGGGTTGTGTTCACATGGAGAGGTGGTGTTTGGGGCCAATATGGCTCTATATTGGGGGAACCAAGTACATGTGAGTCAGACCATCAATGAGGAACTTTCTTGGGGGAAGACGTCCCCTCTCCTTCTTTGAAATCAGGCATACTTGTCCTCTCCTCTCCATTACTCTCAACCCCACAGGCCAATGAGCTATGCAAATGATCCCTTTACCTCATTGGCTGAGGCCTGACAACCACAGATGATCTCAGAGAGCTGGCCCTTTAAGAGTGCCCTTTGGCTGTGTCCACAGGACCCTTGTTCTAAGCACAGGGCACCAGGCATTGCTCCATGGCATCTCCAGTCTCTGGGGAAGCTGTGCCTGCCTGGCTCTGACGCTGACCACATCATCTCTGCTATCCCTAAAGTAAGTATACCTGGGGCCTATCTGGATGCTAGGCCTCTCGTGTAGAACCCCCTCCTCCAATACTTGTCTGCTCTCTGTTGTTTGTTTTCTAGAATCCTCACGCTTATATGTCCGACCCCACTTCTTCCCTAGCTGCTATCACATCAAAAAGTTAATCAACTGCCCCACTTACCTTGTCTCTGCAAGCCCACTTCTCTCTGGACATCTCTCTCAGTGTCTCACCATTTCCTTCCTGCCAAGGATGAGTCCCCTTCAGTTGTGTCTTTGCTTCCAACCCCTCTGTACTCTTAGGGGCAAGGAGCTCCATAGCAAGGGCAGGAAGAGAGGCCTTGGCCCTCTTCCCACTTCTCTGGTCAGAGCTTGGGAGACTGAGATGTGGCTGAAAAGAGGTCTATTTAGACTTGGGTCTACCTAGAGGTCTACCAAGAAGAAGTCAAAATCTAACTACTTCCTGCCATGCCTCTTCTGTGGTCGGGGGTGAGGCTGCTGGAATTGGGAGATGGGCTCCTGCTGGGACTTCCAGATTGGGAAGTATCTCTGAGGTCATCTAGTCAGAGATTCCTTACTTGAGCATGTGCTCTGTGGTTGATAACAGAGAGGAAGGAGGGAGGGAGAAAAGAATAGAGGGAGAGAAAGAGAGAGAGAGAGAGATCCTGTGTCATAAGTTTGGGACACTCTGTGTTGAAGTTGAATAGATGGTTTGCTGAAGGACTTCTCAGATTAATATGCTCTTGTGTTTTATGAATCTGCATGAAGTGGGGATAGGAGGCAGCCCTTCCTAAAATTATCTGAGCACCAACCCCTTCTTAGGTACTTCTCAGAATTACTGTTCTATAGAACACACTTTGGGAGATTTTACAAAGTCTCTCTACCCTCAACGAACAGAAGAGGTATTGCTTGTAAATGGAATGGTGCCTCTGGAGATGACAAGCCATGTCCCAGCACTAGGGTTGGAAGCACTGCCATATCGCTTTTGTTTTCCATAGATCACAGAGGCAGCAGTAGGGTGAAAGGCTGTGCTGTCCTTTCTCTTCTTCAGGCCTTCAGTTGCTTGTGGCCTGTCAGGAGCCCCTGCCACCTGAAAGGTTGCCTCCAGCCTGGAGGTGACTATGCCGAGAACAGGGCTGTGTCATCACTCTGGCTTTCCAGAACTCTTGCTCCAGGGCATTTGGACTTGAGAACAGGGCTGTGTCATCACTCTGGCTTTCCAGAACTCTTGCTCCAGGGCATTTGGACTTCGAGGGAAGACAGGTTCAGTGAATGGGGATGACAGGCAGCCTTTGTGTGTTCCAGACCTTTCCCTTTTCTTGCAGGTTCACCTCTGCTAGCCCAGTCCTAGAATGGCACTGCCCCCCAGTCCCTTGGCCATGGAATATGTCAATGACTTTGACTTGATGAAGTTTGAGGTAAAGCGGGAGCCCTCTGAGGGGCGATCTGGACTCCCCACAGCCTCACTGGGCTCCACACCTTATAGCTCAGTGCCTCCTTCACCCACCTTCAGTGAGCCAGGCATGGTGGGAGTCTCTGAGGGCCCCCGGCCAGGTCTGGAAGACCTGTACTGGCTAGCCACCATGCAGCAGCAGCTGGGGGCTGGGGAGGCCCTGGGGCTGAGTCCTGATGAGGCTGTGGAGCTACTGCAGGGTCAGGGCCCAGTCCCTGCTGATGGGCCCCATGGCTACTTCCCAGGGAGCCCAGAGGAAACAGGAGTTCAGCATGCCCAGGTGAGTGACCTGTTGCTGAAGAAAAAGGTGAGTGAAGAGAGGAAGGAGAATTTCTGGAGAGGATTATGGACTGGAAAGAAACAGGGCAGGAGAAGGGAAGAAGGGCCCTTGAAAGAAATCAGATAGACAAAACGACATTGTATTTTCAAAATGAAGAGAAATGAGTAGGCTGAATCATGAGAGACACGGAGAAGATTAGAAGAGGACCGAAAGGGGACCGGATGAGAATTAAAGAGTTTTGGGGAGCAAGCCATTTACAAGAGAGTAAACAGATACATGGTGTGTGGAATGGAGCCCAGCTGTGGTTGAGGTTGGCCTTTTCAAGGCTTCGTGCTTCCCCAAGGCCCAACCTTCTTAGGACGGATTGGGATTCATCCTATTAATTATAGACACAGACGGGGGTGTTGAGGGCATTAGGACGTAATCCAAATCTTTTGCGGGTCACAGGATTGAGGGCTTCAGGACAGGGAAAAGTGGCGTGTTGGCGGGGCGGGTTCTGTCTGGTCCCCTGTGGGCTGCTGAGGGGTGCGCAGCGTTTGGGTGCGCGTTTCGCTCGCCTCTGCCTTTTAGGCACTTCGGGGCGTGCCTAATGCGGCGCAAGTCGGGTAGCCAGGGCCACTGGGGCATGGCGGGTCCTGGGATGGGGTGTGGACTGAGATAAATTCTGTAGAAGAGCCAGCATTCAGGTAAAGGTGGGAGCCTGGGGAGAGGCTTTCCTGACTCAGGAGCAGTCTGGCTTTGGGACCTGGGTCTAGATCCAGATCCCTGCGCTCTTCCTCCGCAGCTGGCTGAGAGGTTTTCGGATGCGGCGCTGGTATCCATGTCTGTGCGGGAGCTAAACCGGCAGCTGCGGGGCTGCGGACGAGACGAGGCGCTGCGGCTGAAGCAGAGGCGCCGCACGCTGAAGAACCGCGGATACGCGCAGGCCTGTCGCTCCAAGCGGCTGCAGCAGCGGCGCGGGCTGGAGGCCGAGCGCGCCCGCCTGGCCGCCCAGCTGGACGCGCTGCGGGTCGAGGTGGCCCGCCTGGCTCGGGAGCGCGACCTCTACAAAGCCCGCTGTGATCGGCTGACCTCGAGCGGCCCGGGCCCCGGGGATCACACCCACCTCTTCCTCTGAGCCGCTGGGGCAAGGGGGTGGGGGTATCGAGGTGGTTGAGTGGGTGGCACCACATAGGAAGAGGCTGCACCACCCACTGAATCGCTACGGGTCGCTCCCTGGTCCCATTACACTCCCTGTATGACCATACAAAGATCTCTAAACTTCTTAACCCTCATGGCCTGCCCGAGGTTCGATGCTGGTCATTTTCTAGGAGATGGGTTCCCTCCCCTCTTCCAGGCCATAAGCCCGCAGGAGTAGCACACTGAGCTCTGCAGGAGTCAGCCAAGTGTGGATGGGCTACGAATGGGAGGAGAGGGAGTGGTGAAGCCCTCCCCTCAGTTTAGTTGTTAATTCAAAGTTTTCAACCTGTAGTGCACTAAGCAATGAGGCTGTATTTTCACTAAAAGTCTTATAACTTCCCCATTTAGGATCAAAGCATCACCAAGATTTCAGCTCCCAAAAGATAGACTATGAACTCCACCCAAGATGCTTTTGCCTGTCCAATCCAGTGGTCTCCAGGGTCCAGAGCAGCACAGGCCTGAGGAATGAGCCCTGGGGGTGGCTAGTGTGGGCTGGAAGAGAACTGTGGACAGGAGTTTACAGCCCTCAATGATAGTCCCACCTCTGTCACAGGATCCCTCTGTTACCCTGGACAAATTAACTGCTCCCTTGGGCCTCAGTTACTTCCATCTAATTGTCAGAATTGTCTGATGTTCTGGCATCTCCCCAGTGAGCAGGTTCCAAAGGTTTCCCCACAAGGCCTCAAGATGGCCTCACCAAAGAGACATCCTGTCCTGCCCCAGCTTCCTGGCTGCAGCCTAGGCAGAGATAGAGCAGCCCAGGTGGGGAAGCATGGCTTCTCTGGGAGCACTCACTGGCGCTGCTGCTGCCTTCAGGCTGTCTCAGCCTTGGAACGTACAGAGGGGGCCCCTGCTACATCCTGCCTCTTTGAGGGCCTAGGTGAGACTTCCCAGAATAACAAGGAACTGAGAGTGTGCAGCTCTTGTGAATTAAACTTGAAGTCCACATTGAATTCTAACGCTGTTGGCTAAATGTTCCTGCAGTTTAAGAAGTGTTCATTTTCTATTACTGCTTTACTGTTTCAGGCTACTGTTTTGCGTGTCCATGTGTGTTTGTAGGGGGTTGGGGGGTGGGGGGCACAGAAAATATGAGAGAGATCCCATGCGGAGCTGAGAAGTGTACATCTCAGTTCTGGAGGCCCAATGAGGTGGAGGTGGGGATTGGTCCAGATGGAGCTTCTCCCTCCCACCACCACCACAAAAGCCCAAGAGCAGCAGCTGCTGGCTAGGCCTATCTGTGGTTATCCTAGAGGTCTCACAGTTGCCATGGTAACCCTGTTCGGTGGCATAAGGTCTCTGGGCAGAGCAGAGGTGTTGAGCTAGGAGAGGACACCTCACCAGCCACAGTTGTCCATCCTCTAAGGGACATAATAAATGGAAGAAGCAGTCGAGTGTGGGGGAAGTGCTCCCATATGTCTTTCTTCCTTTCTGCCCCCTCTATCCACCCCCTGCTCAGCTGTGCCTTCTCTTCCCATCACAGTTCTTGTTCTCTCCTCCCCCTCCTCTAGCCCAGCTCACCCTTCTTCCACTCATGAGCCTGCAACAGGAGTCCTCCTCTCCCTCCCTCTCGGACTTTCTCTCTTCTCTCCCTTCCCTACCTTTGGTTAATGGCTATTCTCTCTGGCTCTGGATTCCCTCTATGAGGACTCACAGCACCTTCCCCTTCCACACTCACTGTCAAAGGAAGAGGTTGGGGCAGAGAGGGCCCCTCCAGGAGCTCAACTCTTCTTTCCTTACTCTCGGCTTTTGTTGTTATTTTTCAAGACAGGGTTTTGATATGTAGCCCAGGCTGTCCTTGAATTTGAGATCCTCCTGTCTCCACTTCCCAAATGCTGGGATTACAGTGTGCATCCCCACACCCAGCATTTTCCTTACTCTGAATTTCACCTATGTCCTCTGGGGAGCTGCAATCCAGACCCATTCTTGCACACCTTTCTTATCTGCATGGCACACAAGCAGAGACACTTGCCCCACACACTTGTGTACACAGCTTGGCCACATATACATACACCCAGGTCTCAAAATGATACACCTAGGTCACACAGATAGCACTCAGATAGTTTGCACACACTAGTGATGAAGAGTGTAGGTTCTTTAGCCAGGTGGACCTGCATGCAAGTTCCAATTCACCAGCTCTTCTCTAACCATAGGTGAGTTAAAATCAAGCTTCATTGCTTTGTCAGAAAGAAAATAGTGCTGTCATTTACCATTATAACTTACGCTTTTTTTTTTTTGGCTGTACTGGGGCTTGAACTCAGGGCTTCATGTCTGCTAGGAAGGCACTCAACTGCTTGAGCCATGCCTCCAGCCCAAGAAGCAAAGTTTGACACATGGTAAAGAATAATCTTTGCTGGTGTTGCTGGTGTTGCCATTCAGAGTACACAGATGGACTTTTTGAACTACTGAGGCCACACTCGTGGAGGAGCAGGGATGTGCGGTGTACATGAATGCACACCCAGGAAAATCAGGCCTTGCAGACCTTACATGCCCCGTCTATGCTCCTACCTCATTAGGAGGCCTGCTGCCCTCCTTCTGTCCCCCCATACTGCTTCTTGGCCTGCCCCACAGCTGTGTGGGGGCTGGGGTTCAGCCCTGGGAGACTTAGCAGGGCCTCTCTGGAGACAGCTGTGAGAAGGTATCAGCCTGCCCTCTTGACAGCCTCTTATTACTCTTCCCCATCTCCTGCAATCAACCCCCATGGTGTCTAGACCCCCTGGGCTTGGGAGGTGAGAGTAGGGGCTCCTTAGATCTCACTGGCACAGAGCTGGGGTAAGACTGCAGGATAGCAGCCTGTTTGGGGTTTCCTATGCTGTGTGTAGGAGTTGTGGGCTACCCAATGGGCATCTGAGGAATGATGGGTACAGGCCGAAGTGCTAGGGGTGGTTCCCTTTATTAACTGCCAGAAAGTCAGAATCACTGAAGGAAGTCACAGAGGGGCCATAGAGTTGAGGGGTATGGTGCTTGGAGAGATGGAGCAGGGCCCATCACTCACTTCCAGGACCCAGGGAACATAGCTGGTCCAAGAGGCAGAGGCACTGGTCACTTACAGCCACAAGGGTCTCGGGACAGGCACCTGGGAGAGGATGGTGTAGTTACAAGCACTCCTCTACTCTACCCCCAGCCAAGATGAGCTCCCCGGAAACCCTACTTTACATCCCTTTTTTGTCCATGCCTTTGGGTCCCCAGGACTCACTGAGAGGCTGAGGGAGTGTCCGTTTGGTGGGAAGCAGTCAGGGGCTGGGGCTGGGGGTGGTGGCCGGTGTGCAGGGCCTGGGAGCCCCAGGGCTGATGCCCTGACTGGCATAGTACTCCACCACCTGCCGGGGCACCTCAGCCAGGACGCACTTCGCTAGCGCAGAGGGAGCCGCCTGGGGGAGGATTGCAGACACAGGGTTACTGACAGAAGAGGGGGACACACCGGAGGTGAATGAGGGAGGGGCGGGACTTTGCGATGGCCGGCTGGGTGCCTGCATCATTCTCAGTATGACCAGTGGGTGAGACCTACAGGTCGGATTTGGGGGCCTGAAGCACTAAGGAGTCTTTTGGCCAGGAAGGGGCAAAGAGCACTCACATCCTTGAAGTCCCTGAACGGTACGAACTGGACGATGTCTCGGGCTGCGGGCACCCCTCGGGGGCAGCGCAAGGGACCGTCGTCGCCATCCAATAGCCGCATGTCAGAGAAGTCAGCATTACCCACGCCAACAATAATAATGGACATGGGCAGGCGGGAAGCACGCACGATGGCAGCGCGGGTCTCGGCCATGTCGCTAACCACGCCGTCAGTGAGCACCAGCAGCACAGAGTACTTCTGATGGCAGGAAGAGGAGGAGGAAGGGTTGCCTCTGCATGCAAGGGCATTGACATTCATCCCAATCCCAGGTCCTGACCCCAGCACCCGAGGACACAGGGCAGCACCCGGCTGTCCTCTTGCCTCCTCACCGTGGCTTGGCCAGTGCTCTGCTCTCGCTGGGCTGGCCCAGCTACACGGTTGATGATGGGGGCCACGTTGGTGGGGCCATAGAGCTGGATCTGGGGCAAGCAACGACGATAGGAGGCGATGACCCCAGAGATCTCTGTGGGCAAAGAGAGGAGGTGAGGCTGGCAGAGATTAGCAGGGAGCCCTTTCCACACTCCTTAAGGCAGGGTGGTGCTTCTGGTCTTAGGACTGCTAGCCACAAGTTCTTCACTAAGCAGAGAGACAGAGTTGGGTGGTCCTTGGAGCTGGAAGAGTTGGGTGAGCCACAGTACTGGAAGTCTTACCAAATGAAGGCAGGCATTGGATGGGTAGAAGGGACAGGAAACTGGGCTCATGGGTATGGGGGTGGTGCTCCTATATGGGATGTACAAACCTGTGCCAGCATGTGTGGCATGGGAACCCTGGCTGATAGGACTTTCTTACCTTCACATTCAGGATTTTCTGGGTCAAAGTTGATAGCAAAGTCGTGGGATACCTGTGAAGATAAAGTGAGAGCAGTGAGGGGATGATTGTTCTCCTGTCTTTTTCCCTTCCCTTGTACTCAGCCTACCTCAAAGTTGGGGGGGATTCGTGCCCCAAAGCCAAAAGCTGGGAACCGCTTATCACTAGAGACAAGAAAAGATTGTGAGGCTCAACAGGCAAGACCTTCCTTTCAGACACTGCCCTGCCTCCCTCTTACCTGTCATAGTCCTGGCAGATCCCTCCCACTGTGCGCAGAGCCTGAAGATAGTGGTTGGGTTGGCGGGGACTGAGGCAGTGTAGGGACTGGCTGCTCCTTGGGTCCCCATTGGAAGCGGTGAAGTCAATAGCCACCTGGTGGGAGTGAAGATGGGGAAAGGGTCATGCTGCAGCCATGAGAGCCAACAGAGAGCCTAAGCTAGAGCTAGGTCTATGGGGAGGGCTAGGATGAGTCTGAGGGAATCCACAGGCAGGCTTACTGTGAGGTGGGATGTGGGGTACAA